CTTAAGCCTTTTAATGAAAATGGGAACATTGACAGGGAAATAGATCTGAATAAAGAAGTTTCCTAACGAGCGCGAACAGTAGTGTGGTGTAAAATGCTTGAAATTTTCATAAAAGTGACCCGAAAAACTGTGCTAACTCGTAACCCATGGCCCGATTTTAACAAAACTTGTTTTATTCTGTTTCTATTCTCATTTCACATATTCTATTCATATTTCTATTTTCATATTGTGCACCCTTTTTGCTGTATTTAATTACAGACAAACAAACAATCTCAGTTTTAGTAGTGTACAGATTGATAGATGTATACTGTTATGATTTTAAAGCTATTTAGAATAAACAAATTTAGTTTCATATTACAATTTGAAGTCTTTCTAGAAAGAAAAAAGGGTAAGATTTATTTAGATTTTTATTTTTAGGTGGTTATGAGGTTCGATTAAATTAATCAACCTTGTATAGAGTTAGAGTAGAGAAAATAACAGATAAAATATATAAAATTTTACAGAAAAAAAGTTTGAAATGTACTTAGGGGCTTTTAGAGATTATGCAAATAAAATTTGAGATTTTTTAGATGAAGAAAAGTATTTTTAATCTTAACATGAAAATCACTTACTGGACCAGTCAACAGTGTGACTCCATATATTCATGGGAAAAGTTTTAGTGAAAATACTTTGTTAAAAATTCTGAGTTTTCTCTACAAATTACTCTTATTGATTACTGAAAGCTTGCGAAATTTCATGAGGATACACAAAACAGATGTTATAATATGGAAACTTTAAAGGTCATGAACTTGGCCAAGCCCATAGCAATAAAGTTAATGTGTTTTTTTATTCAATCTTTAAATGTTCTTCTCAGAGCAAATTTTGGCACACTAGTTGATGTGTTGGGGATTTCTTTACCTGTTTTCCAGGAAAATGTTCGTCTCAAGTACAAGATAACGTACATCGTCGAAGATCAGACTCACACCGACCTCGGGGAAGTAAATAATTTACTTGAACATAGATGATTTTTCAAAAGTTTAAATTAAGAAATATATAAACAATAGAGAATAAATATATATGGAATTATCTTACATTGAAATGGTAAAAGTCCATCTTTCAGTTTACTTTTCCGATATTGTAGTAACTTGTAAAGAATATCCTTTTTTTTTTTCAGTAATTAGTGAATTTTCATCCAGGGATGTGATCTAGTGTTTGTATATTAAGATTATTTTTTATTAGGGCATTATAATTCAAATGTACCAGCCTTAGATATTAGACTGCATATCGTATCTGACTACTAGAACTTGTGTTTCTCTAACCCTAAATCTGACAGTTGTTTTTAAAGAAAATAGAATATTGGATTAATTATTATTTTCAAAGTCTCTTAGTAAAATGTGAAATTATACATCAAAGTTTATAGCTGAAATAAGAGGCATTGCTAGACACTCGCACATGGGGCCTGTGAATATTGAGTCATGATTGATGTTTTACTAAAACGTTGAAAATTCCCTTGCCTGATCCACAAATCTTTTAAGTACCTAGCAGTGCCTCTGGCTGAAATAATTTAAAGTTTTGCTTTAGTGACAGATTAAAAAATTTCCTGTTATGCTTATCATATTAAACTCAACGTCTCAGTGTATTATCACACTTAGTAATATAATAGGCAAACTTACACGGGGTCCTTTTGTGGCAAGGTGATTGATTCTTGAATTACGCTTGTCAGCTGTAATGTTAAAATAAAACATGAAAAGTTTCATGTTTCCAGTGCTGAAATGCTACTGGTCTTTGCTCCTGTAAGGACTCTTTTTTTCCCACCCCCTTCACCACACCCACAGCCCTTATTTAGATAGTTGGTGACCCCTTATTTGTAAAATTCTAGATCCGCCACTGGACATTGTCATGACTTATCCATCAGTAGCATAATCAGAGATTGGTTGATGTGCCGTTAACAATGGTAGTTTTAAACTACAAGCTTTAGGATTAACTGTTGGTTTCATCTGTTCAGAAGATGTGTTGAAACATAACCTGTTAGTTGATTACAAGTATTAAGTACTGGAAAGGAAAGCTAAAGTTTAGTTCTGTTGTAATATGCATTCTTTATTTTTTGAAATATATGTCTATCTTAGTAACGGGCCATCAGTGTGCTGTGATTTAAAATTTGGTAATTTTACCAACAGACATTTCACGCTAACAAGTCAAATGTTATCTGTGTTGTAAACAACTAGCTGTATTTTTATGCCACTCAAGACAGTTTTTTATTTCCTTTTCTAGGTATCTACAATAAGATCTATTTCAAGCTATTACTCTGTACAATTTTAAGTAAAACCAAAATGTCAAGACCCAAAAGTCTAAGCTGATTGCATGTTTAATTCTTATTTTCTGATAAAACACTGCCACCTGTAAGATATAACTGACAATCTTCTATTTATTGAAATATGGGAGTTTAAATCTGCAGTTCAAGGGTAACCCTAACGTGTTAATTTTACACAAACAGTCTGTTAACCCTACATGCATGGGTGGAGATCAAAGTGTGCATGGCATGACCTTTTACAGAGTGCCAGTCAACATGGTATTATGTACTTGATGTCGGAGATATCAAAAATTTTCATTTTACCCTAAACTGCTGATTTATCAACAGTTCATGGTAGAGGAGAGGAAGTACCATATACACTAACGGGGATACACAAAACTGTGGATATGTATTTCTGAGGTTCTAGAAGTTATACAAACATAATGTTGCAGTCAAACTTGTCCGAGTCAGAATGACATTGTCAGTTACGTAGTTTTGGTAAGTTATACAAATGTAAACTATACAAACATAATGTTGCAGTGAAACTTGTTCGAATCAGAATGACATTGTCAGTTACGTAGTTTTGGTACGAATACTTTTATAACACACCAGATTTTACTAAAAGCTTTCTACATTTTGTGTAGATATACGTAGTAACCATGGAATTATAGACATCACTCCTTCTCCAATACAGGGTCCGTCCAATCGACCGAACCTGTGAACATTTCATTAGTCTTTACTAAACTTCATTTAGTAGCTGTTTTGAAAGACACTATTACTAGCAAAGTATATGCGCATTAGTTCATCAAATCTGCTATCATAACTTGCACGTTTCTTGGAAATTCTAAGTGTGGAATTTTGACAAAGAGAGAATGTTTTGTGATTGTTTATGTTCACCAATCAACCCAAAATATTTAAAACTAACAAGGTGTATATTCATAACAATGGTTTAAATATGTTATCAAAATATATATATATTCAAACCATGTAGTAGTAGTAATTAAAACGTTAGACGATCTCAGGTGTGTGTATTATCTAGTAATGAAACAGCAAAGATAATAGAAATAACATTTCTACAATACTGTAACTTAATTCGTCAGAGTGATTTTTCAAAGAATGGGAGACAGGAAACATTATTAGATATTTTACATTCCAAGAGTTGCTTGTCGTACTGTTTGTTTTCAAACTTAACCTAAGAAGCATTACTCACTACCAGTACTGAGAGTGCCCGATGGGTCTTCAGTATGTAAAGTTCCAATGGGTCTTTGACGTAAAGTGGTGAATTTGTAGTGAAAGATTAATGTTATAAGATTCAAGTTAACACCAAGGTAATATCTCTCCTGTTAAAACTGTTCATTTAAAACTTTAAAATTATAATATTTGAATAATATATATCTTACATAAAACTTGGAAACATTGTTACTTACATCTATAACAATCATGTATCACATGTTGGTATTATAAGTTTATGTTCTTTTCAAAGTCTGGAATGTGTATTAAACTCTTTTTAAACATTATCTTCATGTTGTATACTGTACAAAATAGTAGGAGTATAATATTTTCCTGTGTAGTTTTGTTGTTTGCAAATAAAGTATATATATATATATATATATACTGTAAATAAAGAGATGTTTATCATACTTTGTTACTAGTTGCTATGACATTTTTAGCTGACCCCCCAAAAAAAAGACATTGCTGTGAATGTGTGTGATATGTTTAAGTCAGTGGAGTTAAACCGAGTAATCAGTTTTTGTATGAACTGACCAAGAGATTGATCTACTCTGATTGAAAGCTTCTGAAGTTAACACTAAGAACTAACAGTGATTTGTAACCAAGTATTGAACTTATCCACAATAAACCTTTTATCGACGAATATCACAAAACCTAAAAATATCATCTCACTGGAGTTCATTTGTAAAACAGATTCAAAAAGGGTTTTTCTTTGTTGATACCGCAGACAAAAAGGAAATTAACCCACAGAGGTGTACTGTCAGAACTCAAAACTCAGTTGATAATCCACAGAGGTGTACTGCCAGAACTCATTTGATTTGATTATCAAAATCAGTTGATAACCCACAGAGGAGTACTGTCAGAACTCATTTGATCTGATTATCAAACTCAGTTGATAATCCACAGAGGTGTACTGCCAGAACTCATTTGATTTGGTTATCAAAATCAGTTGATAACCCACAGAGGTGTACTGCCAGAACT